AGCCACATTCAGGATTAATTTAGATTATTTGTTATTATTTTTGTTTCTTTAGTTCTTTGTCAAATTGATGTCTAATGGTAAATGAAAGGGCTGATGAAAAATCTATCCGTCGGGTTTAGAGGCCTCCCCAATATTAAAAGACGGAAAATTTAATCAAGTTTATATTATAAGTTGTTAAATGGCCAATGAGAAAACTCTCCGTCGGTTTTGGAGGCCTTCCCATTTTAAAAGGACAGAATTTTAATTCAAGTTTATATATTTTATATGTTGAAATGGCCAATGATAAAACTCTCCATCGATTTTGGAGGCTTTTCCATTTTCATAGACGGAAATATAATTCAAGTTTATATATAATTTTAGTTTTTGGAATTGGCCGATGAAGAAATTACCGTCAATTTCCAAGGCCTCCCGTGTTAATAAGATGGATTTTTATTTTTATGTTATTAGTTGAGTTATTCATTTTTATTTATATTTATTTGGTACTAACTTTTTTACTAAGTGTCTTTACAGGTACCCGGAGATGTTTATCCTTGAATTATTCGAATGAAGTTCAAATCATACTTTATTTCATTATTATATGAATATTGACGTTAGGCAAACCTTAGGCCGATAAATATTATTTTATTTTATTGTGTATATTGTGTGTTTATTATATCTTTACGTTATTTTATATTCTTCCTCAATTTGAAAAAAAAATGAATTCAGTCGGTAACCACATTTGTGGATTTCGAAGGGTGCCTAACCCCTTCCCTTCGGAATAACTTAAACCCCTTACCTAGAATCGAATTGGTTTCGTAGATTAATAATTGATTTCCTAGTTTTCCTAAAATTAGGTGGCGACTCTTTTTAAAACTCGTTTATTTTTAAAACATTGTTAAAATTGAATCAATTAATTAATTTTTGAGTTGCCGCAACGTTTCGCCCTATTTTAACAGAGTAGGGATGTAAACAGATGACGTATATTTATTAAAAATAGACTTAGAAACAGTGTGTAGTATTTATGAAATCTATGTTAGGCTTTACAATGAGTCTTGGATTTTCAAGGTGTTATATTATCCCCCCCTTGAAACATTCGTCCCCTAATGACACTAAAATTCTTTTGAATGAAGGAATTTCAACCCATTTTCGTACATTTCTGACTCCTAAAAGATAGTCAAAAGGCTAAGGCACACTAACATCCCTTTGAACCAACTTCCCGGACGTTTATGGACTTTTTGGTTTGTAAACCTCCTAAATGACATATATTTATTAAAAATAGACTTAGAAACAGTGTTTAGTATTTATGAAATCTATGTTATGCTTTACAATGAGTCTTGGATTTTCAAGGTGTTATATTATCCCCCCTTTGAAACATTCGTCCCCTAATGACACTAAAATTCTTTTGAATGAAGGAATAGATCTAAGACTAGCAGCCCAACCAGTCAACAAAATCCATTTAGCATATATCAAGTCACATCAACAAAAAAAATATCATTACAGATTTTACCACACCTAAGGCTCAAAACACTTCATCATGAGGCATTTCCTTCACACAACACTTATGAACTCAACATACATCACATGATTCAATTAGCACAAAGTTCAACTTAACAACATTCTAACTATCATTTCATGAAGACTTACCATATAAAAATGCACAACATGACTCAAATAAACGAAAAATGAAAAATTTCAAGTTTTTAATAGCAGTACTTCATTGGCTTCACCGTAAAACATACTGTGAGTTTTTTTTCAAAAAAAAAACCATTTTTGAAATAGTTTACTAAAAAATCAAGAAACCACAAATATTTGTCATGATTAAATAATAAAAAAATAATGGGTAACTTTAACTCTGAAAAAGATGGGGATAATGGGACTTCATATCGACCTCGACCTCCCATGTAGTAGCCTTAATTAATTGATTTTTCCATAACACTTGTACGGATAACTCCTCTTTATTCCTCAACTTCCAGACTTGCCGATCAAGCATTTGAACCGGGACTTCCTCATAAAAGAGGTTGTTCTTGACACCAAGACCCTCAAAACGAAGAATCGACTTGGGGTCACTGACACACTTTTTCCAAACAGAAAAATGGAAAACCAGATGAACCGAAGCCAATTCACTAGGAAGTTTCAATTCATAGGTAACCTTACAAACCCTTTGCAAGACTTCATAGGGACCGACATAACGAAGACTCAACTTCCCTTTCTTTCCAAACCTAACCACCCATTTCATTGGTGAAATGTGTAAATACACCTAATCACCTTCTTAAAACTGCAAATCCCTTCTCCTATTATCGGCATAAGACTTTTGGCGACTATAGGCCATTTGCAACTGGTTCCTTATGATATGAACCTTTTCCAGAGTCTTATAAATAAACTCAGGACAAAGAAGTGATGACTCACCCACTTCTAACCATCCAAAAGGATACCTAAACTACCTAGCATACAAAGCTCCAAAGGGAGCAATGAATATGGATGAATGAAAATTATTGTTGTAGGAAAACTCCACTAAAACTAAATACTTATGCCAACTCCCTTTAAAATCAATAATGCATGCTCTAAGTATATCATAAAGGGTTTTTATTGTTTGCTCCACTTGACTATCCGCTTGGGGATTAAAAACGGTGCTCAACTTCACCGTACTACCTAACCCTTTTTGGAACGACCTCCAAAATATAGATGTGAATTATGTGGCCCAATCCGATATGATGGATGACGAAATTCCATGGCAACACACAATATCATCTAGGAAGATTCTTGCTTAATCCTATGGTAAATATGAATACTTGATGGGGATAAAGCAAACGGATTTAGTCAATCGATCCATAACCACCCATATGGAATCATAGGACTTTTGGGTCAAGGGTAAACCTACTACAAAGTCCATATTGATGTCTTCCTACTTCACAGTTGGAATTGGGATCTCTTGTAGTAAGACACCCGGCTTTCAGTATTCGAACATTAATTATTGGCAATTCGGACACTTAGCGACAAATTCCTCTATGTCCCTTTTTTGATGCTCTCACCAATATATTTCCCTTAGGTCATAGAACATTTTTTCAACCTCGGATAAATTGAGTAGTGGGACCCATGTGCTTCTTTTAAGATCCGATCCCTTCACTCATCTTCATCGGGAACACATAATCTCCCTTGGTACCTTAACCCACCATCCCCCCAGGGAGAATGATTCATTTTACTTGCCAAGAGCCAATTCTTTCAACTCCATTAGGGCTAAATCAAGGTGTTGTTTGGACTTCACCTCAACCACTAAAGATTACTAGGAGTTATGATGAACTATGGCACTCCCATCTAAAGATCTATCCAACCTCACCCCAACCTATCCAACCTATGCACTTTCCTTACTAGGTCTTTTTTGTCTTCATAAAGATGGGATACACTACACATAGTCATCCAACTTACGGAATCGACATCCATATTAGCCTTGTCGGGGTGATAAAGGACACTCATATCATAATCATTCAATAACTCAAGCCACCTTCTTTGTCGGAGATTTAAGTCCTTTTGGGTAAATACATATTGGATACTCTTATGATCGGTAAAAACATCCACATGAACCCAATACAAATAATGCCTCCAAATATACAAAGCAAATACCACAGCCTCTAAATCAAGGTCATGGGTATGATAATTCCTCTCATGTACCCTTAGTTTCCTAGTTGAATAAGCTATCACCTTCCTTTTTGCATTAGCACACACCGAAAACCCACTCGGGATGCGTCACAATACACCACAAAACCCTTTGTACCCTCCGGTAAGGTCAAAATCGGAGCGGAAGTAAGCCTATCTTTCAAAAATTGGAAGCTCTTCTCACGTGCCTCTGACCACTCAAACTTTTTACTATTTTGGGTAAAAGTAGTCAAAGGAGACGCAATGGACGCGAAACCATGCATCCACGACCCTCCGATAGTAACCCTCTAAACCCAAGAAACTCCTGATGTCAGTCGCAGTCAATGGTTTAGGCCAATTTTTCACCGCTTCCATTTTCCATGGGTCTACTTCAACTCCCTCAATAAAAATGATGTGCCCCAAAAATGTCACTGATCTCAAGCAAAACTCACACTTACTATATTTGGCATACAATTGATGTTCTTTAAGGGTTTGCAACAATAACCTCAAATGACCCATATGATCACCCTAATTATTTGAATATACAAAGATATCATCAAAGAAGACAATGACAAACGAATCAAGGTAATTTAGAAATACTCTATTCATTAGGTTTATAAATACTGTCGGAGCATTAGTGAGACCAAAAAACATGACCAAGAACTCATAATTCCCATACCTAGTTCGAAAGGCCGTCTTCGGTATATCCTCCTCTCTCACCTTGAGTTGATGATACCCCAACCTCAAGTCTATCTTTGAAAAGTAACTCGCCCCTTGAAGTTGGTCAAATAAGTCATGAATCCGAGAGAGAGGGTACTTATTCCTAACGGGGACCTTGTTGAGATGGAGGTAGTCAATACACATTCTCAAAGACCCATCCTACTTTTTGACAAATAACACTAGAGCACCCCATGGATATATATTAGCTCTTATAAAGCCTTTGTCAAGAAAATTCTTGAGTTGCGCCTTCATCTCTTTCAATTCGACTGGAGTCATCCGATATGCAGAGATTGATATGGAATTTGTTTCCAATAGCATATCGATACCAAAATTAATTTCCCGTTCGGGAGGAATACTGGGAAGGTCATTATCAAAAACCTCTAGAAATTCATTCACTACGAGGACCGACTTAATATGAGGAATTTTGGAACCCAAATCTTGGACTCTTAATAGGTGATAGAGACAACCCGTTGAGATATGATGCAACCTCTAGGAGTAGAATTTCCCCCCTTCCACTCAACAACGGGTTCATTTGGGAAGTTAAACCTCACCACTGTTGCCCTACAATCACTGGATGCAAAACATGCACGAAACCAATCCATACCCAATATAACTATAAAATAAAGCATATCGACTTCTACTAGATCAACATAAGAAAATCTATTGGTCAATCAAATAGGATAATTTCGATAGACTCTTTTAGCAACTAACGACTCTCCCACTGGAGTAGACACTAGAAAAGGCTCATGCAAAATATCGAGTAAAGCATCAAACTTTTTAGTTACTAGTTGTGTAACAAAGGACAAAGTAGAAACCGGATCAATTAAAGCATACACATCAAAAGTAAAGATTTTTAAGGTACTGGTCACCACGTCGGGAGGGGTATCTTGCTCACCCACAAAGTGGAGAGCATAGAAGCGGTTCTTTTTTGGAACATCACTAGAACCACTTGCTTGAGCTTGGCCACTACCATTGACGTGACTCTTCAAGTTTGGACAATCTCTCATTTTGTGACCACTCTTTCCATAACTAAAGAAATTATCTGTCCCCTTAAGGCACTCACCATAGTGCTTTTTACCAAACTTCCCATAAGTTGGCTTCTTCTTTGGTGAACTAAAACTTTTTACCTGCTCAAATTTAAGGTTAGACACCCTTCACCATTAGCTATTGGAAATTTTGTTAGGACTTGATTTGAACCCCGCTTTTAAATTTAGGCTTATCTTGAATCTCAAGCATATTCTTTGAGCAGTTCCCATCAAATGACCTAGCCCTCTTAGCATATCTAGTTTTTTGCTTAGGTCATGTCTCTTCAACCCTTCTTGCATAAACCATAATACGGGAAATGGTCATGTTGTCATGTAGCATGGCTAATTGGCACTCCTCTTGTATGTCCTCCGAAAGCTCCATCACAAAACGGCTCATTTGGTCTCTTCGATCGGAGACTAAAGATGTAGCATATTTGGAAAATTTAACGAATTCGAAAGAGTACTCATGAACACTCTTCCCTCCTTGGAGAAGATTGATGAACTCTGTCACTTTCTCCTCCCTCATATCTCTAGGGAAGAACCGATCTACAAATTCCTTAAGGATTTTCCATGTCACCAGACCACCCATCAACAACCTATTAACCCTCCGTTACACATGCCAAGTTTGAGCTACATCCTTTAGTTGATATGAGGCCAACTCGGCCTTATCACTTGAAGTCACACCCATAGCATATAACACCTTGTAGACCTCATCAAGGAATCCTTGGGGGTCCTCATCAACAATAGACCCATAGAAAGTAGGAGAATTCATTCGCGTAAAGTCCCTAAGTAGGGAAGCCATAGTAGAAACTTGTGGATGAACCCTTGGGGTAAACTCCTGATTGGACTGGGCCGTCATAACTTGGCTTTAACCGTGTCGGCTTGTGCTTGAGTAGTCATGGTTGAATCATTTGAGAAATAATAGACCTCATCTCCTCCTCCGTCATAGGTGGAGGGTTAGCCGGGTCTTGATCATTATTAGCATTCTCCTCAAGTGGAGGAACTTACTCATCATGGGGAGGAGGTCCCGCATTAGCAACTTCTTCCTGAAGTCTTCGAGTCGCATTTCTTCAACTGATCATGCTTCCTATAAGCACAACTATATGATTAGATACCAAAGCACACTACAGGTATACTTTATTGACACAATATAAGATTTCCAAGAAAGAGTGATTCCTAAGAATCATATAGGTTTCTACTCATAAGTGTGGCGTGCTTCACAATTATGAATGCAAACCTGCATAGATGTGGTAGAGAGACAGATAACTCAATTATATTCAACCTCACGCTCTAATATAAACATAGATCTCTGCATACACATAATATATATTCATATCGAGCATACATATACCTTTCATATAGGAAGGTTATATAGTCTTCTACTTTTAATTCATATGTGTGTGTGTGTGTGTGTGTATATATATATATATTTATGTATGTATGTATGTATGTATATATATATACAGACATACATATATATATAAATATATACATAGATATACAAACATATATGTATATATATATATATACATACATACATATCTCTCTCTCTCTCTCTCATATATATATATATATATATATATAGTCTCAACCATTGTCTCGCCTCATCCACTCTAAATGGATATCATAAAATAGGCATAGTCCTTACATGAATTCAACGAGCCAATGTATAGGTCATACGAAAGTACAATATTAAAATAAGAAGGAAAGAAATTATAAATTCAATAATCTCATAACAAAATCCAAATCTAGAAGATGACATTGCCCTCGAATGTTGAGGACCTACCAAACTTGGATGAAAGGAAGAATCAAAGCCTTCAACAATATCGCCTTCCAAATTGTTCAATGACCAGAACATAAAATTTTTGGGACAAAGGAACAAAAGGGTTGTGGTATGAGATCTTATGCACATAGACAAGCAAAACATGCTAAAAGGGACTTTTTACCAAAGCATGTCATTCAACCCTTATTAGGGGCTTAATGCCAAATCAAGTAAGTCATATTAATCAACCAAACATACTTACTATCTCAACAAGTAATACTTATGCCAACACACTTGAAACCATGATTTAGTAGAACCGATTAATCAAGGAATAATATCAAAAGAATAAAAAAGAGTTAAACATATCATAATATGAAAGAAAACTACTCAAAAGTACTTATCAAGTCAACAATTGCAATGACCAATCAAATCTCCATAACCATACTCAATCAAGCATCTTGAACAAGGAAACATCACCAATGTCCAACTTTACATATTCTGGAATTTAGGCTTGCATTTGATCGTATATTATCATTACAATCCAAGACATATTCATAAATAAACTAATCAACGTATAGTATAAACAATATGACATAGTTATCATATATATATATATATATATCATATATTATCATAACATAAACTTCTAAGAACCATCTCCAAAGAGTCCCCTCAAGACTAACTAGTGCAATGTCTAGTTATAGTCTTATACCTCTACCTAATCTAAGCTAGACCCCTTAGGTTATCTAAGTTAGATTTCAAGTCCTTTAATTCGTTTTAACATGTGGGAACATCTTTCCCTAACAGACATAGAGAATATAAGCTAGTGTGGAATCTGTTTTAATAAAACCCTACACAAAAAGAAGGCGCACTACTTGCCAAGGTAGTACCAATACATAAAATGTAGCAACTACGTCAATCCACTAGCTAGTATTCCTATGGGGGAAACATAATTCAAAATCTAGGAGATTTAGTTGCGACCCTCTTTATGGGCCATGCATTATAATCTCCAATCTTAATAGTAATGTAGTGTTCCTACCTTCCCTCTGTGGTAAGGGACTCTCGTATACCTAGTTTACTCTGTGTTAAGCTAGAGTCCCTTTTTGAAATGTCTTTCACCAGTTAATTACCAATCATAACTTAATTTAGGCCAATGGGTCTACCACTTATATAATCATCATCGTCAATAGGTCAATAAGAATTATATGAGTATAAGCCATTTCATCACAATTCATATAAGTGAGGATAACACATTAGCATTTCATAACAGATTAAGGCACATTGATAGTTTTCATCATCCTTATAAACCATACACCTTAATAAACCTCACGACATAGTCAAGAAATTTCAATCCAACATAATACAACCCTATAATCCAAGTATAAGGCATACTCCAACGTAATATCATGACTTAACAACAATTAATTACAATTAGCAGTGAAGGTAGAGATTCTAAGACTTACCAAGTCTTTCTTATCGTCTACCATCAAGGCCTTACCATCATTGTGTATAGATTCTATTAACCTTGATAATAAATTCATATCGAGTATACATAGACCTTTCATATAGGAATGTTACATAGTCTTCTACTTTTACTTCATATGTGTGTTTATATATATATATATATGTATATATGTATGTATGTATGTATATATATATACATACATATATATATATATATATAAATATATACATATATATACAAACATATATGTATGTAGATATATATATATATATATATATATACACATACATATCTCTCTCTCTCTGTCTCTTTCTCTTATATATATATAGTCTCAACCATTGTCTCGCCTCATCCCATATAAATGGATATCACAAAATGGGCATAGTCCTTACATCAATTCAATAAGATCATGTATAGGTCATACAAAAGTAGAATATTCAAATAACAAGGAAAGAAATTATAGATTCAATAATCTCATAACAAAATCCAAATCTAGAAGATGACATTGCCCTCGAATGTTGAGGACCTACCCAACTTGGATGAAAGGAAGAACCAAAGCCTTCAATAATATCCCCTTCCAAATTGTTCAACGACCAGAACATAAAATTTTTGGGACAAAGGAACAAAAGGGGTGTGGTACGAGATCTTATGCACATAGACAAGCAATACATGCTAAAAGGGACTTTTTACCAAAGCATGTCATTTAACCCTTATTAGGGGCTTAATGCCAATTCAAGTAAGTCATATTAATCAACCAAACATGCCTATATCTCAACAAGTAATACTTATGCCAACACACTTTAAACCATGATTTACTATAACCTTAAAATCAAGGAGTAATATCAAAAGAATAAAAAAGAGTTAAACATATCATTATAAGCAAGAAAACTACTCACAAGTACTTATCAACTCAGCAACTGCAACGAGCAATCAAGGCTCCATAACCTTACCCAATCAAGCATTTTGAACAAGGAAACATCACCAATGTCCAACTTTATATATTATGGCATTTAGGCTTGCATTTGATCGTATATTATCATTACAATCCAAGACATATTCGTAAATGAACTAATCAACGTATAGTATAAACAATATAACATGGTTATCATATATATATATATATATCATATATTATCATAACATAAACTTCTGAGAACCATCTCCAAAGAGTCCCCTCAAGACTAACTAGTGCAATGTCTAGGTACGTCTTATACCTCTACCAAATCTAAGCTAGACCCCTTAGGTTAACTAAGATAGAGTTCAAGTCCTTTAATTTGTTTTAACATGTGGGAACATTTTTCCCTAACCGACAGAGAGAATATGAGCTAGTGTGGAATCTGTTGTTATAAAACCCTATACAGAAAGAAGGCGGACTACTTACCAATGTAGTACCAATACATAAAACGTAGCAACTATGTCGATCCACTAGCTAGTATTCCTATGGGGGCAACATAGTTCAAAATCTAGGAGATTTATTTTGGACCCTCTTTATGGGCTATGCATTATAATCTCCAATCTTGAGAGTAACGTAGTGTTCCTACCTTCCCTATGTGGTAAGGAACTCTCCTCTATCTAGTTTACTCTGTGTTAAGCTAGGGTCCCTTTTTGAAATGTCTTTCGCCAGTTAATTACCAATCATAACTTAATTTAGGCCTATGGGTCTACCCCTTATATAATAATCATCATCAATAGGTCAATAAGAATTAAATGAGTATAAGCCATTTCATCACAATTCATATAAGTGAGGTTAACACATTAGCATTTCATAACAAATTAAGGCACATTGATAGTTTTCATCATCCTTATACAACATACACCTCAATAAACCTCACAACACAGTCAAGAAATTTCAATCCAACATAATACAACCCTATAATCCAAGTATAAGGCATACTCCAACGTAATATCATGACTTAACAACCATTAATCACAATTAGAAGTGAAGGTAGAGATTCTAAGACTTATCAAGTCTTCCTTATTGTCTATCATCAAGGCCTTACCATCATTGTGTAGAGATTCTATTTACCTTGATAATATATATTCATATCGAGTATACATAGACCTATCATATAGGAAGGTTACATAGTCTTCTACTTTTACTTCATATGTGTGTGTGTATATATATATATGTGTGTATGTATGTATGTATGTATGTATGTATGTATACATACATACATACATATATATATATATATACACAAATATATATGTATGTATATATATATACATACCTTTATCTCTTTCTCTCTCTCTCTCTCTCATATATATATATATATATAGTCTCAACCATTGTCTAGCCTCATCGCCTCTAAATGGATATCACAAAATGGGCATAGTCCTTACATCAATTCAACAAGACCAT